CTTGGTGACCGCAAAGTTAAACTCGTGACCTATTTCGCGGGTGTGGGCAGCCATGTGCGATAATTCGTCGCACACAGCCAGTTTATGTTCGTGTATGCGCGATCCGAGCATGCGTTCAGTCTGACCTGTGTAGTTGCAAGGACAGTTTTGGCAGGGGTTGCAATGCACTACCCCAGACTGCTCCCCGGGGTTTAACCATTCTCTAACTTTTATAACCGCACTGCGTGAAGGGACTTTTGTTCTGTGTGCAATTCCAGCACCCAGTCCCGAGGCAGTGCGTTTAGTCACTTCTGGGATGTCCTTAATATATAGCAAAAAATCCCATATCGTCAGTGGTGTTGCCGTTTGGGTCTTCCAGAGGGCGAATGCGTAGGCAGCGACTTATAAACGTCTTCGAATAGCCATTCTGAATGAAGTGTTCGTGAAGGCATCGGGCTTTGCGTGCTTCTTCCTCTTTTGCCACAAACATCTGGGACTCCAGCATTTGCCTCCATTCGGCGTAACTTGGGACAAATCCAAGCCGGAACAACAGGCAGTATTCAAGGAGGTCAAAAGTATCGTGGACTCCCCTTCAAATGTGAATAGCCATTGCATACTTGTGCAATGAGCAGATGAGTAGGAGTACAGCCTGGATGATCAGACTAAATAGGTAAATGACCGGTAGGGAATGTAGATCAGGCGCGCGGAGTGGGAAGAATTGGTGCATATGAGTGAGCGAAAACTCGTCACGCCAAACAAAGAGGAACGGGTGGGCATAAGATTATTTCTCCCACTGACAACTGCCAGGGCAGTGCGTAGCGGATCGCGTGATCCATATACTTACACGACCATGATTTCCTCCCCGTATTGCCGTGGCTTCTGAATAACGCAGGGACGCCCAATCGTTGCTCGACGTAGGATCTTGAATGCTATCGTCTGAACATGTTCAAAATCTAGTTCCGTCTTCTCCTAGCTGAGCGAAATTCTGAATGTTCGTGTGCTTCCCTTTCCCCGTTGTTTTTCAATATTCCGATCTCTGATTGGGGCCATCTGCTCGCATATGTACAAAACGTTCATGAAAGACAACGTGCTGTTTTCCTCGTTCTCAATGGTAAGTTCTACTTTCTCATAGACCTTGTTCTTAGCTCTGAATACTGTTCCTTCGTCTCTCGGACTACTGGCGATTTCGAAGATGTCATTCACGCATATTCTATAGAATGTAGTTCGTTGTGGGTTTTGGGACCGTTGCCGCCCAACGTTTGCCGAGATGTCCGCTAGAACCGGGCTTAATGGAATATGCCATCCATCTGCCTGCCAAACTGTGGCCATCGAACTGCACGTTATTAGTGCATAGCCACAGCTTTGCTGCGTCCAAGCATACTTCAGACGCAAGCTCACAAATTATTCCGACGGCTTCGTCCAGCAACAGGTTATTAAGCAGGCGTTAGACGTCAAGACATCATACGCCTATTCAGTGCGCGTAGACATGTCAGATCGGCTCTGAGTGAAAAAGTATCTTCAGTAACGTAAGCAGCAAGACTGGGCCCAGTTGGTCCTATTCGTTGAACTTTGTCGTCCGCCTCACTGACGTAACTTGTCGCAACGACAGCGCTGGTTCGAGTATCCCGTCTAGCCTGAGATATACGGGCCTACGGACTTAAGACATGTGGCCATCATGTCGTTTAGCACTTCATTTTAGAGTAGTAATATCACCTTTTTTCCGATAAGGTCTTGTTCGAACTTGAGTCGAATTGGGTCCATGTTCCACGCCTTCAAATTACACTCCAGAGGACGTGGGAACTTTTGTCTATGACCCTAACAGTAGCCCAACTGATCATTGAAGGTAGTGATGCTTGGGATGCTTGTATTAGCCTAGGACGCCGATCGGGTAGCCACTCCGACAGTCCGACCGTCACATGAGACGATGTCTACCGTGTGCTTAGGGGGGTGGGCGCAGGGGCAGTGACGTCTGTAAGGAGGCCGACTTGCGCAGCACCTACCACACTCCCTTATCCCATACCCGCCTGTCTGCGGTGGCGACGGCGTCAGGACCTCTGGGAGCGGAAGCAGTGGTTCACAACGGTAAACAGCCCGTCTACGAGCGCCACACATTGCCACGTCCCTACAACATTTATCAGGCTTTCAAGAGAGCGGTTCGGAGCTCGCATGCGTGATAGCTTCATAAAGGCCATTTAGTATAGTATCTTTTAGGGTAGTAGGCGATGCCCTTGACCCTATTGAAAACGGTGCGTACAATGTAAATGTTAAATGTAAATCGTACTAACATTTTGCCAGTAACATATTAGTTTACGGAAAACGTTTTCATGGTGCTGGACTGTTAAGAAGGACCCATTTAGCCGGCCTCACAGTCCTGCAAAGGAACGCGCTATATCGTCAGTTGACGGTCTCACAAGCCACAGCATTTAGCACGTCGTGAAAGATTCAGGCGCGTCAGACTTATCATAGGAAGGAATGCACTGATGTGCCGTGGGGATGAATCCTCCGGAGCCGACTTCACCCTCTATTCTCTCTCCCATGCGCCAGTCGACTGTCCGAGTCTGTCAACCAGCTGGTGCTAATATTGGGTGAAGATAGCGGACTGTCACATTGGCCAGGGTGAGCCCTACGCAGCCTGACTAGCATTTGTCGTCAGCCAGTCTGACCCCCTTCCTGTTTCAGTGCACTTGCAGGGCATCACGCCTTTCATTGGCAAAGAATGCACCCAAATGATATCGCTGCTAGAGCCGTTCAGTGAGCTTTCGAATATAAGCAACCACATGCTGTCTCCAACCAACTGGCTGCATACGGTTATCGCTTGTTTTACCATTGTCATTCTCGGGGGGATCGAGTATGCATTCATTTAAGAAGAGGCCACCTCTACCTCTCAGAGTCTGTCAGTATTCGATCTGTTGTTCAGCAAGGCTACGCCCTCTGCCTATCCTATTTTAACCTTACTGGCTACGCTCTCAGGACGCCACGCGATTTCATTACTACCCACTTTGCACCACAATTCCAACTGACCAGTCTCGGCTGCACTGACGATGTCCTACTAGCGTTAGGTCATGACCTACACAGTAGTGTCTGGGAAGAATGCGACTGATAGGTCAGTCGAACCCTCCACCAATGCTACAAAGACCAAAATGTTGGGCCGTATTCCTGGCCAGAAACCATCTTCCTGATAAATAGTTGTAAACTTGGGGAAATAGGCAGCCCCAAGTATCTTTAGTCGAACTGGTGCCAGACAGTGTGAAGCAGACAGCGGGCCCTAGTCAGTGTTGCTCGCGGGGATTTGTGCAAACCTGAAGTGCCCAAACGCTCGTCGTGGTATCATAATTCTCGGCAAGATCCATGGGTATTCCCCAGCCAGTCATCCCTTACGATCGCGCGCATGTCCTCACAGCGACAAAACGACGCGCAGTCGCGGCCTAGATCGCGGTTGTCGAGATAATCAACTCTTCTAGATTGGAGACATAGCCGCCTTCTGGTGTGGAATTCGTGACAATTCTACCCAATCAGACACCTGAGATTCCATTTTGGCGTATAATTTGCGCGGGGGCAAAGGGAGAGCACGTGTGCGGACGCGTAGATGTGATGTCTGCCACTAAGTCCAACCTCGCCCGCTCTTCTTTGTTTAACAAATGAACACTACGGGTGTAGGAGGTAGGTCTGTGGTGCAAGACCCAGTCGCGAGACACCAATTCTCACACAAACCATTGTCCCTCGTTATGGAACGATGGGTGTCCCGCCGGGCGTGACGGATGGACTTGCAGCGGCTAGCTTATCCGCTTTCACTCTGTAGAAATTTCGAAGTGCCGTCTTTAAATGTTAATTTCGCTCTTTGAGGCTGCGTGACATTGATAGAAAAACCAGCCAGTCGGGCAAAAAGTAGGCTTGGCGTCCAATCCCAGTTACGAACAATCTCGTTGGGTCTACTTATCCTCCCTTCTATCTATTCTGTCAAATGAAGTTAGATGACACTGAATTCACACAGCTGGGCTGGAGAGGGGGAACGAACGTCAGTCGACAATGACGGCTGTTCGTTACTTCAAGTTCTCTCGACGGGCCTGAATAACTCTGCACCCTGGCATCTAGAGGTCCGTCTTACAGGGTCCAGACCTCTTGAGGGACAACAAGTTGGTCATTCACGTTAAAGCATGCTGCCTGTAGACGCCTCCAACAAAACCAGGTCTAGACCCCTTAACACGAACCGAAGCGAGTGTAGGTCTCGTACTCAGACTCCGTTTGAAGTAACTTTCACATTCGGTCACAAACCGGCCCTGAATTTTTGATGTTATGCAACCCAAGTCGATGCTGTACTGGGGACTGTTTCACAGAGCCGCCGAGAAAGTTATCAGAGTCAGATGTTAATTTTAGGGAACACTGTCATCGGGAGCTCCACTGAACAGTTTTTTAATGAATGGTCTGGCAGCTTTGAAGACTTCTGGGTACCGATTGTGGGCGAAAATGAGGACAGAAATGCCCCCGAGTTCTGATTCGGATGACTTCTGCGTACACACAGGTTCAGCAAATGAAGTGAAACATTGTGTACAATCCACCTCCTCCGCCGCCGAGCGTCCATCACAGCCTTGCCACAAAAAGCCTTTTAAGGCATGTCTGGAGATCGCCGCTTCCCTTCACTTCAGCACTACATGTATAACTACAACTTAAATGGGTGCCGGTCAAACCACAAGTCTTGTGTGGTGACTCCGAGTCGCTGTAGGCGGCGATACCCGCATACAGTTTGCCTGGGACCCAGTAGGAAGATGACAGAAGGCGGTCTGCACACGGTCCACGATGTCAATGAAAGGAGAGGGAGTGGGCGGGCGTAAACAACACCAATAACTCTTTAAAGAAAGCCACCAGTAGAAAAAGAAGGCGAAAGAACAGGCCGGTTGAGAGTGAAGAAGGTTCGATGGGTCAGCATAAAGAGAGAGGAGAGGAGACGGGCCTTGGCCCTCCAGCGCCGTGAATAGAGACCAGGGAGTGCGGACTGCTTTAATTGAACTGAGAAGGGTCGGGCGTTATTGTTCCCTGCTGACAAGCATGAAAACGGCCAGTGATCCCAGCGCGGCGTACTGAAAATATGGAAGATAAAGGGTTAGTTTGGGAAAAGATCGTGTGTAGAACACATGAAAGACGGAACCGATAAAATTCATCCACCCATTGTCGCAAGATGGCTAAGACAAGTCGTGTCGATGTTTTTATGCGGCCACTACGGCACGTTCTTCACTATCCATGCTAAAGCTCAATGTCGCTGGCAAGAATTAGTCGGCGGGACTAAGGGGGAGGTCGACCCAAAACCGAAGTCGGCTTATATTGGTAGTTCCCGTAGCTAGATCGAGCTCACTAGTGCGTTATCGCAGATCGTCATGCATGGACGGACATCGTAGGGGACATAACTGAGGTCGGCCAGATAACGCATGACCACAGCTGTACCAAGTACGTTTGTGGGAATGGAAGTGAACATGGAGGAATTAACTGGCTGTGTCGTTGTTTTTAAGATCAAAAGGTTAGAAGAGTGAATTGCGAAAGTGGAGGATATATACAAACAAGAGAAACAGGCGACCAACCTTAAACTTCGGGTAGTCGTTCATGACGATTGTGACCATCCCAATGTATGGAAGAAAACTAAAAGTAAGCGCAAGTGGAAGCCAAGTGCTCGCAGGAAATATTAGCTGTCATTTTTCACTTAGAAAAACGAATAAGGTACAGTGCGTAACATTGGCATGCAGGGAAGACTCACCCCTTTGCGCGGCCCATCACGTGCTTCTTTTCCAGCCAATCCTGACCGGGGGCGTAGAGCCCTCGGTCATCAACAGCGTTGTTGTCACCTTTTGTCAAAAACTTTAGCGTCCCATTTTTCCTTGAAAATAGGTATAAGGGAGAGAGGGGTCATGATTAGTTAAAAAATTTACTAATCGCAAGATCATATGCAATCATTGCCTAGATGGGAGTGGAGATGACTCAAGTGACCGTTAAAACGACGTGGTTGGGTTTGGTAAATGAAGAAAGCTACAAATAAAGTGGAGAATACAATGGCCCAAGGACATCATTAGAATGGCTTTCCGGAGATCACGTTTTCTAATGTTGTCCAAGTTGTCAAGGTGTTCATACTGTTCAGCATCATCCTCTCAGTCATCGTAAAAGGGCACAAAAGGGCAGCGCCTGAGCCCTAGACCATCGAAATTGAATAGAAAAGTCAGTGGAATTATGCGTACGTAGTCAAATACACCACCCGTAAAGTAGTTTCAACGAAAAAACATACTAAAAACGAAAAGTACAAGCGAACAGGGCAGAAAGCATGTATTAACACTCACGATTCATGCACGCGCAGAACGCGGTGAACGATGGGTATATCTCGGTCCTCAATTTTAAAAACTGTAATATCGCCAACATTTATTGGCTCCGACTCGTAGTTTGTCAGGAATAGCAGGTCACCTCGATAGAACGCAGGCTCCATGCTTCCACTAAAAGAAGTGAGACCAACTGTTGCAGTACCTTAGAACAACAACGATAGGGCTAACGCTATTTGTTATAACGATCAGGGATTTCCATATCATCAGAGCCGAAGTCAGAACCATACTGAACGTCAGGATTTGAAAGTATATCTGAAAAAGAAATACGTCTGGATAAGACAAGGCACAGAAGCTGGTGATGTCTGAAAATGAGTAGGTATTATCCCATATTCAGAAAAACGATTACAGGCTAGAATGCTTGGTTACTTTTGCAGTAATTTCCCGAACTTGGCTGAAGGACCTAGCTCAATCTGTCGGCAAATCCAACCATCGCGGAGCCATTGGCTTGGTTTTAGTATTCTCTCAGTTGCCTTACAGGCCGAGGACATCATTGATTATCATTTGCTACCACCGCCTCCCTCGACTCGTGTTAGATGACGGACCGACCACGTCAAAAAAGATGGCTATAGGGGGAGCGTTAAAGCGACTATTCTACCGTAACCGTGGAACCCTGAATAACACTGTCAAGCTCTTAGAAACCAGCCAAAAGATCAAGGACGTTTGTGCACAAAGTCAGAACGTACTATAGTGGAAAATGGAGCTCCAATTTTCGACGCCAGGGAAACACGAGAGGTAAAAACGGAGAGCAAAGCGCGCAAGACTGGAATGTAGTTAACCAACGTCCGACTCCTGACAACATTTTTGCCCCGAAATGATTTCGCTGGACACACTTTTGGATCCACCACAACGTCGACCAGGCCAACCCACCTCAGACACCGCAAAACACTCATCACAACTGAAGACGCCATCCATATGCCATCAATGCTACACCGCATTCCAGTTCCAATTTTCCCTAGTCCAACATGGTCACATCCACTGCCTCGCGAGCGCCGCAGGAGCATATGGCATAACCATCAACAAAGCGGATGCAGCGCCGACGTGGTCCCACTGCAGCCAACAATTCGATTTTCGTACTTATTTACTCAGCTACGTACAACTCGAGAACCAGTGGCAGGGGCAGGGACCGAAAAGTTCAAGTCCTCCTTACACCGATCATCAGTATTCCACATGGGCGGAAGTGGCAGTTTTGTGAATGAATTTGTTTGCAATGAGGTAGACTTTTACGGCATCTGTCTCAGTTCTTCCTTCCCATGCCCATCCTGTTCCGAAGGCAATGCAAGGTCACTGTCATCGAAATGGCTGTGGGTGCCGCGGCTGACAACGTTAAATGGACCACCTACGTGTGCCACACACGATTGCACTCCCAACGCTACATGTAACAGGCTCTAATGAGGTTTGGAATGTTACTCAAATTGGAATATCATAAACATTACATTAAGGACCTATTAATCCCGTACGACGCCGACTTTCCACAATATAATTTTTATCGCACCGTGACAGTTTTAAAACGTTTAACTCATTCATATTGAGGAAGCTAAGTGCTTGGTCCGGGCTTGATCAACGCTACTCCCTCACTTCCCCCATGTCCAAGCGTCCTGTCTCAGTATAGATGAATGGGGGGCGATTCGGCACAGTGACCGGAGTTGCGTGAAGCCACCGTCTAATTTGTGCAAAACGAGAGCTAAGATCTCAAAGTAATAGATATCATTACGGTCATGGTAATAAGGAGTTGGTGTAGTTTTGACCTAGTTCTATAGGAGGACTAAGTTATCACGTCAGCTGGCATTCTTCCAAGCTACGACTTTAGGGTGGAGTAATAGAATCATGCATGTAAGATTAAGTACTGCAATAAATGGGCTTAGTTGCCGCGCAGAAGGGTACTATGGTGCTGGCGTCGCCCTCATATCTCTACCATGCACCAGCAACCTATGCTGACCCTTTAGCCGGCCAGGCAGTGGCTGACGCCTCGCGCGCTTCGGTCTAAAGCATGCCGGCACAGTTAAACTAAGTACGGTCCGGCCAACGCATGTCATGATTCAATGTGGTCCCGTTTATTTTGATGTGATAGGAGCGCACGGACATACCCCACACACAGACAAAGCATAGGTTTGTTCGACCGCACGCGTGTACGAGATAATGATCAACAAAGAACTGCATAAGATGCGATCTCCCAACGTCGCAGAGACAGGCGTAACATTGAGCGAGTGATGAAGTCTACTGTATGTTAAGTGAAGACCCACCACACGCGTAACAGGAGCAAACGATGATTTTCACACCATTCGTTGCGCTTAATCACGTAAGTAAGCGATGGCAATCGTCCCTGGTATGCGAAGGGGAAGATGGCGAGATCGGTCAACCTCAAATCCCACACATTAATTCCATGGCATAGGTAAAGAAGACGTTAGCAGTTCTGGCTCGGAAGGATTACAGCAAAAGGATTTAGAATCAGAATGCAATGGACCCTTCCAGATAAGACTCCTGTGGACGACGTCATCCTCAAGAGCAGTCCAAAATCTCCTTTGATGATTGACTGAAATACATTTAGGGACAAGTTTGTGTGCTCCACTCATAGACAGACTAGTTATATTTGTCAGCCACCACGTTCACCTCAATTTTCGGCTACATTGAAATGGTCGACTGGAGCATGGTAAAAGTGGGAGTAGAGTTTGACAGACGATGCGATGGTCCGGTTCACTATAAACCAATTCGCGCACAAGTTTCTACGGCGCCTTCCTCTAGATGATGGCGAATCCTGCCGCTTGAGACGCCTGGAATATTAGATTCAATGCAAAAATTCACTATATGGACTTCAAGTTAAATTAACTTTAGAGCATTTCCAAGTCAGTAAGTGGAGGCAAAAGATATCTTAGCCTGGACTTCAAAAAATAAACTGGCATGGTAATGAAATCATCCTTTACCGATGCACTGACACATGGTAAGCAATGGGCCATCAACTGAAATTCAGTGGCTAGTTTATATATAGTCATACAACTGGCTGACGGGGCAAAACCCGCGCGAGCCACTGCCTCGCTGGCACATGCGTTGCGGATGGGTGCATACATGCGCCTCGCGCGCATTCGATATGGACGTCCGAGGGACTCTGCAGCCTACAGTTCTGGCTAATCGTCGGCGCGAAACTGTGAAACACTTGCGCGGACTGCCTACTTATAGCGCACCCTCGGCATACGCAGTACGACGTTTGACCAAAGCGTGCGTGTCTCAATGTTACCTACGATGCCGCATGCGAGTCATGCACTGGGACTCACGGACGGGTTCTCCCGCTCAAGTAGTCACGCGACACACACAAGCACATACAAGGCAATCATTTGGCCATCATCGGCTAGTGTAAGCTAGCATGCTGGCAGTGCAATGTTGTCGGGAACGCTGAGAACCATGGGGGGACATGTGACACAACGATATTTCTCCTACCTACTAGCACAACAAACTGTCATGGCTAACCATAGACTAAGGTCATCCTAAGCTGTTGAATTTATTCGATTTATCCTTTTTTCGACTTGTTGGCCAATGTTCGTCTCACTTGAATTCATATGAGAAAAGTGGGTGTATGCATAGCGAAAGACAATAACAGTGTAACTAATATGTTAAAGTAATAAATAATTTAGAAATCTCTCAATATGAAAGGTACCTGTCTGGCGTTCATCCTTTTGAGTTCTGCTGCGATATCACAACCAAAAAGGCTCAGCCCCATTTCGACGTAGGCAGAGATCTACACAGGCGCACTAATCGGGCTGCTCCACAGAATTCGCTCGTGTAAACTTTCCAATGGTCAAACAAGTCCCCAGTGAGTGAAGGTCACCACTTTATCCTGTTGTCTAAACAGGTCGATGTAAAGATAAAACAGCAAATGGACCCTGAAACGCTCTCAGCATAAACGTATTAACAGTGTTCGAGGGGTGGATATAATCAAGATGCGCAGTAAGGAAACAAATCAATGAGAGATCAAAGACAGTTACTCTGAAATCTCGTGTGCGATTGCTGATCCTCGGACTCCTGTATCGTATGATATTCTTTCCAAGTATTGGCGGAACTGATGAAACTGACTGTAAACCGGCGCGTCTAACAGAAAAATGAAAAAATTGGGAATTATATCAGAGAGCTTATCAAGAAGATAATATCAGGGTTATTTTAGATAGCTTTCTGAACGACGTTCAAAAATGGCACTAAAAGCAAAACGCTGAAGTATATTTTGGGCCCTCTGTAATCACCTAATAAATCTCACCTAAACCATTATTCAAGTGCATAAACATGGCCTTCAACGGTGTATTCTGGCCTGGAGACAACAAAGAAATAAACAAGAGGAGTCACAAACACTGGTTTCATTTCGTGAACACTTAGTGCGTAAGGAAAAATTTAAAAAGGATGAATTTTACTGATCAAAATACTAAACACCAAAATGTTTTTATGAATCAACAATTTCACGATTTACAAAACAGACGTAGTGGCAAAATAGCGATCCTAAACGCCTATTCAGCAGTGGGAACTTAGACTGAATGGAGGATGTTTATTCTGCGAAAGCAATGACAAGATACTTCTTTGCACAGGGAAAGCGTACAAAGCATACTACTCTTAGCGGGCAGATTTGGGTTACATATCGTAGGGTCGACATTGTTATATTAGCCTACATGAGGTAACGGACATGTTTTACGAAGACCCGCAGGCAATCCTAACGACTGTGTCGAAGTCAGACAGGTTAACTGTCCTCGGTGACGTCGACGTCAAATTTGGAACAGACCATACTGTATACGAGTGAAAAACAGAGTGGTTTCAACTACTGAATGTGATTTTATTCTACCGCTATGAATTTCATTGGTTGTGGATGCTACCAGCATCAGTAGTAGTTCGACGACAGCGATGAGGAAGTCTGCAATCTGCCTCCACGAAGGGGAGACTACACAAAACCTATGTCAATCGCTGGGCCAGTAAAAACAAAGCATACTCCTACTTGTCTCGACGTCTGGTGCAACGACTGCGGGTGTCACAAAACGCTTGAGTGGAACGCAGGGTAGATGAAATAGGAGGCTTCGCAGATCGCGACCTCGGAAAGAACTTCACATCATGGCAGTCTAACACCCTCACACCAAATGAATTGTCCCACTGCTTGGCCGCAGTAGAACAACGCTCTTTATTTAGAAATAGCATATTCTGAAGCGACGAGTTGAGCATTTGAGGAATGGTCTCTACCGCCCATCCACAACCTCCGAAGATGCCAATAGCAGACTCTTTTAAATAAAGACAAGCAGTGATCTGTACTTCCTGCCTTCTTTCCCTGAAGTAATTACTGCAGTACATAAGTCCTCCACGGGGATGCACAAGAGTCTACGCCATCCGGCCGAACTCTACAAACGCGGCGGTCTCAGGCTTATAGACAAACTCACATAATTATTCCATGAGATGTCGTTGTATGGACGAGTTCCTCAGGGCTTCAAGGGCCACAACTCTACCTTTGAACTGGTCATGGACATGGACAAAGAGGTGGTTACACACCAACTAGCATCAGCGGTTGAACACACTACCATGTTCCATCCAGCGAATTTGAGGGAAATAGGCTCCGCCTTTGAATTCCTTATCTGTTACAAATACTAATCGGAAGAATTAGCAACAATCTAGGAGATTTACAGTGTTAAGGAGAAAAAAATTAGTTGTACATAATTGTGTTTGTTTATTTGGGTACATGGCCACATAGTCCGCTTTCTGCTGAACCATGTTTTTCTCAAACCGATGCTTGGATGTCTCCTCAGACTGTGATATTACGATCGTCTCGGGAAGGTTAACGCATGGTTCCGCAGCACGGTAGACGGCTTTAAGTCCATCGAAATATAAGATTTCGGAGCAAAATAAAAATCACGAAAAACTATGATTAATGCACCCGATTCAAAACCCTTATCAGTGTATTCATGAGTGAACTGGCTTTCAGAGTCCTGGCCGGTCTTATTTGAAGCTCCCCACTCCAACTCAACGTCAACTTTACTTTCCAAATACTAACGTCCCAGGGCACTATCATCGTCGCGTAGACTCTACCCACGTGCTCTCATTCTGGCCCCACATTTCAGCCCCAGCTGGTCTTCGTCGATACCTTAAATACCGTCTTCCTTTTACCTGATCCCGCGGCAAGTATTCGCTCAATTTACTCAGCTTTATCTAGCAACCAACGTATTGCGCCGGCTCACTTAACTTGGAAACGTACGTGACCCACATATGGGATACACTGAGTACGACATTAAAAGTAACAACCACTAAACCCGTCCACACGCACGCCGCTTCTTTCTACCACTTACTTTGTTGCGTTGTCTACCAACAACTATCGGCTGGAGTTGCTCCAACAATGCGAATTCAAATTGGATTATTAGCATTTGCGTCAACGATTATGTACAAACCAATAAAGCCGGCATTATTAGTCATATTGATAATTGTAATTTCATCCCAAAACAACCGTAATACCGACCTTGTGAGCTCTAACTAACAGCCGTCTGATTCGAATTGCCTCGCTGCATATTCATTCATCATATTAACCCACTTGACCACGTGGTCCAGCACGACAAAACATAAGATATCGCTTATTTGGCAATCTAACGATACAACCTATTGGAGTGAGTGAACTCTGATGACATTCCGCAATAATGAATGTTTGTGTACGATACGCCTAGACACAGTTTTCCCCTCACTACCCATTGCGCCCATCGTCAATGTTTGTGTATTCACCGCTTAGTTGGAACATCGTCGCCATGCGAAGAGGGCGAGTGACGTGTACGTTATGAAAGTCCACCTCACTCTGAAAGGACTCATGCGCGGTACATCAGCGAGTCCTTTTTCAGGAAATTGATAATGCATGAGTAAATAAATCTATAAATTTCTTGTTCCAGTGCATGAACTTTCTATGTGCCTTTAGGGCAGCTGTTCTGAATATGCCGCCCCAGATTTTGACAATATTTTCGACTTTGCATACTCACGAGAGAGTTGACAAGTTAATCATGTTCCTCTGTTGGTTAGCAAACAGTGCCACTTGCAAACGTTTGGTCTATTTTCAATTTTCTACGAATTAAGAAACCACAGACAGAGTTGCAAACACTTCGCCTTATTTCAAGAAACATAACGATATCCTATGACTAATGCTCAGTGAACACCTTTCATTGATTGGGTTTTGACTAAAAGTTCCTTCCAACATTTCTCTAGATGTACTTAAGGGGTTATTTGCCGCATTTATTTCTTCAGACAAATCTTCTCGCTTCCGCAGTTAGTCCACTCTAGTAGAACTTTTATTTCAGGGAGAAAGATCTAGAAATAAATCAAGCTTATAAATGTCACCAACTCTTGCCTTCATGCACACATCAGTCTGGCTGACTAGACATTTCTGATGCTCCATCTCCCTGGTCCACTGACAGCGTGTTCTTCACTCTTACTTCCTCCTCTATCGGTAGGAGTGAACGAGGATAATAGATCTGCTGCCTAGCCGTTTGGTAGAGCGATCGCTTGTGAACTCTGTTGTCTACCACCTGACCAAATAATACTGCTCATCCTCATCCTACAGGGGCACTTCAGTCATTTTTGTCCACTTTTTTTTCTTCCACTGGAGGGGGAAAGTAACTAATCGACGGTTTCCCTAACAAAACGCATCTAGGAGCGGTGGAGAAATCCACTAGCTCCTTCCCATACCTGACCCGGTGGAATCGTATCTGAATGCGGAACGAATTATTTATGCTCTTCTACTTACGAAAGTTGCCCGAACTCTTCCTCTTTGGTATAGGCGGTAGAGATTATGTTTCAGGGAAACCGTCATTGGATATTTTGTACAATTCATGAGCAGACATCAGTATGCAATTTGAATAATCCCAAGATAATCCACACGGCATATACAAGGGCGGCTCTTCTAAGTAGAGATCTGGACACCATGTTCCGAAAATTTTATTTTGAAATGTGAGTATTTGAGTGTAGCACAAACCCGAACACTTAGGATACGTGAAAAGCATATGAGAACTGGCCTCGATGCTGAAGGATAAAGTAGCATGTTCGATTTTACCTAATGGAGTATTTAGTATAGTAGCTCAGTTCGATTGGTGTTTCCGACCATGTTCACTGTGTGCCCCAGAGCAGGGTGAGTTCAGAACGACGACTTGTACGTGTACTAATTTATAGTGACAGTAAACTTGCACAGCATTTATCGAACTCTCTCCTCCTTCCAATCTGGATATAATGTTAAGACAAAGTCAAGAAGACCCGAGGCGGGAGAGGACGCAGGTGTATGGCACGCTGAAAACCCACATATTGGTGGCTGCTGCTTCACGGGCTCAGTTCCGAGTGGAGACGCCGCAGAGGCCACATTAAGGAGCCAATTGTAGCCCGACTCTCAGACCGCTAGTCGGCCACTGCACACAAACGAAAAATGGGCTGACTCCGAGGTCCGAGTTATCCCGTACGTTAGCAACCTTCCAAGCAACGGTTTTTAACGCATCGGAATAAATTCAAGAGCGTCATATTATTTACATTGAGGAATATGCGCCGAAACTGTAGACCTTATCTTCTTTTTACATTTCCGATCAGCCGATCAGCTGCCTGATAGGGGAGTAGGCGCAATGGCTTACAGGGATAAAGAGTCCGTCTGTGAGCACAACACGCACGACCCGGCCTCCCAAACGCACACGTTGAGAACACACGCGCAAAAGGAAAGCGGCTCAGATCTCATGACTAAGACAGTGCCATCAAGAGGGTGGCATTACGGCCTGATTCTCTGTCCACCATACAGTTATTTAACACACAAACACACAATCGGGTTGACTGCGTGGTCGGAGTTGAGTCATCAGCTGTTGAACCTCCAAGCCATGGCTTTTAGCTCATCCTGATGGTCTCGGGGGTGTCAGGTTGTTTACAGTGAGAAATTATGCGCAGAGAGTCCACCTCACTAACTCTAACCTGTCCTGTGCGCCAGTCGACTGTCCTAGCCGGTCAGCCAACTAATGCTGAGACTGGAAGGGGTTAAAGGACTGAGAACAGCTCACCTGCACATTCAGCATCCGTGGCCTGGCCACCAACAGTCACAATCCAGGATTCCACACAAAAGGGGAAGGCTTTTCGCTCCTCACATGTAACGGATGAGCCACATTAGGAGAGGATCCCAAAACCACACGTTATACTTGCGAGAGAGCTTCGGGCGATGTGGGATTTTAGAGGCGTTGACGACGAAATGTATGGTCAGGCGGCCATTTCTGCTGTAATTTACCGCAACTTTCCATGGGAGCGTATGTGACGAAATTGACCCATGCGATGGCTGAATATGCGAGGGCAATGCAGGTAGTTGAGACGACGGTGTCTGGTGTATGTTGGTTTTCGCCGGTTTCCAGGCCACGGAATTGCACGTGGCCGCCCAGGCTTGGCTGGTTTTTGGAGATCCAGCAATCCGACTCGTCGTCACTTTTGATGCCGCACGAGAGTGGACTATCTAAGTAATGATGTGATGTTATTCATGATTTTAATTTGGGTGTCGCCGACACTGATGCAAGGAATATTGTATGCAGCGCCGAGCAGCGGTTGATGCATGACCACGGTCTTGTCCATACTGATGATATTCTCGAAGTTGGCGCAGACAAAGGCTAGGACGATTAGACTCTTCTGAGTGTTTGCCCCTATTGTGGTGTTGTGTGCAATCAGATCATGGACAGCGGTCATGGAAAGATGCTTTGGGTCCCGCCTGTGCCGGCTAGTGAGACTATCACCGTCGGTTCTACAGTCCATGTAGATAATAAATGAATAAGTAATTTTTATTCAGGACCCGTCGGGGTCGGGTCCTAGCGAGTAAGAATAAATTTTTGCTCGAATTTTGGAACAGGTAGACTGTAGGCGCCCATCAGCATGAAAGAGAACATGAGACTGAAGAGAGAAGGAGCCAGTACACAACCTTGCTCCTCTCCGTTGGCCACCGCGAATGCTTTTAAGACGGTCCCGTTGTCTGTGAGGCACGTCATCATCCTGTCGTGGAGGTGGCGCACAGTGTACGTGAATTGCTTAGGGCACCCGAACTTCTACATGGTTTGCCAGAGTCCATCGCGACTTACCGTCTTTATAGCTTCCGTTAGATACAAGAAGCTGGTGAAGAGGTGGGTCCGCATCTTCTGACATTTTTGTTTTAGCTGGCAGATTTGGTAAGACGGCATGCGGCAAACAATTTAATTCCAATGATTGAAAGCAGTTAAGCGAACCGGAACTCTGTGTGTTGAGTCACGAAGCCACTTTAAACACTAGTGATGCCACCCCAGCCGACTTCATTGCCGCACTTGAGGCCACGTGAGTACGAACTAATGCAACCGAAGCAGGTAAACAGATAGTGCACCAAAAGGTCACGCCACTCCTGATGACGTACAGGCACACTAGCAATATGTCGCCCGCAGAAATAGAAGCAATTAAGAGATCGTAATTGGACAAAGATGTCAAATTGCGACCGGCTGATGATGAACCGCATTGATTACAACGAGAAGGCACAGGCTCTCCTGGATGACCAACAGTCCTACAAGTCCGCGCCCGCCTCACAGGCTAAATCGACGATTGGCCAGCTGGCTGGACTCTCAAGTCGACTCCGGCGCAACAATGGAATCTCGGTTGACGAATGGCGTCAGACAAATCCAATCAACACGGCATTGGCCAGGTTCTACGGAATACCAAAATCCACAAAACCAACGTTCGTCTGCGGCCAATCGTTGCCCTAAAAGGCAACCCCACACGCAATCTAGCCAAATGGATGTCCCGAAAACGCAATTTTCTCCAAAAGGGCTCTCTGACGTCAGTCAATTCGGCCTCCCATTTCCTTGCCGACATTCGGGGAAAAACAGTTCGATCCGGCCAAATCATGGTATCCTTCGACGTTGTCTCACTTTTTACGTCATTCCCACCAGAATAGGCGCGCGACGTGCTGCGCAAACATCTCGAAGAAAAGTACGTTGAAACGACAGGATCCCTAAAGATCTAGCATTCAGTGCAGCTCTTTACATTCTGCCAACGGACCTTTTTCACCTTCAATGACAGAATATATGAACAAAGCAAAGGAACACCCATGGGTTCCTTATTATCCAGCCTAAATGCGGAATTGGCCCTACAAGAACTGGAAAAGGTTGCTTTCAGCCATTACAGACTTGCGTTTTGACGCCGATACGTGGACGATACATTCGTCATTATTGAAAAGGGCAGGCTATTGGGTTTTTACGATCTGCTTAACAGCGGTACTTTATTCAAAGTCGGACACCAACTCTATCAATAGACACATTGGTTTGCCTGAGTGTTATCACGCACTCCGCCCACGCAACCAGATGGCGCAGCTCACATCGTCGCGAAGTACAAACGCCGTCACCACGCTCGGGGGTCCATTATGGGTCAGGCAGCACAAACCAGATCTAGCGACGGAAGTAGCCCCCCCTCACGACACAACGATATAAAAGCTCACACGTTGCTCTACTCTGGCAGTCTCTGATGATGAACTCCTGTTCGATTTCGAAAGCTAAGGCCAATAAATCTAGCGTCCCAGTGCTCGTGCTTTCGTCTTCTTTTAAACATTTAATTCTAGGTTTGACCCTAAGTGTAGCTTTCCTCTTAAGATTGACAGCAACCGTAAAAGCAACACTTTATACCTACGTAGATTAAATGAGTATGCATGTCCCAGAAATAAGGCCCAGGTGGGCCACATACGCCATGCTTACCGAATACGCTTTCGCCCAGAACACGCAGAGGTACGAGAGAGGGACTGAACTGTTCTGATGTGCACCAAGCGTGTCAATAGTGACTATTAGTCTGTTATTTACTGGAGTGTCCACAAGTTAGGAGGCAAGTAGGGGGAGTCAGATGTGAACGCCGACTGTTGGATTTGGATTTTTCAGAGCAAATCGAAAAGGAACGGGAACAGAAACGAAGGGGACGCGAAGAGCGAATTCGTGAAAGAAGAGAGTTGAAGGGAGCTGCCAGGCTTAACTGCCTTCGCGAGCAACAGGAAGCCGAGCTGAATAAGCAGGCTGCGGCAGAACGATTGCAACATCCAAGTGCTGACGATGGTACCCAATGTCGTTCTGGTCCCCGCCCTATCTTCGCCTCTCCTTTCTCAGAACCTCGTCAACTTACCCTTGCTGGAGTTCAGGACAGTACGTCACCGGCTCCGGATGCTGATGCAAAATTGAATCATCCTTCGCATCAACAGACTACCAAACAGTGGACTCCCCTGGGTTTTGGAACTTCCAACCTGCTTCCACATTATGCAACTGGAGCATTAGAAGACAACGAAGACGAGGATGATGATGACGAGGACGATCTGGATACTGAAGGAACTGATGGCACTTTTGCCTTAACGCTTCCGCCGGGCTTCCGGTTAGTTTTCGTTCTGGAGCGTTGTCCGTACAACGTTCCTAGCACCGCCGTCATTTTGGTAATGTATTCGCCAAGTTTTTCCTACCAAAACTTCGCCTTTTTTTATTAGCGCGCTCGCTCTCGATTTTATCCATACATCATATTCATTAAAGGACGCTGCGCAGAAATCTCCCCGATGGCAGTTTTAATATCGACAGTAGGGCCTTTTTTCTATCCCTTTCTGTCATCATTTTTACCTCAACAAATTGTTGAGACTACCAGTTGTGTGCTGGGGTAGAAAATTGTGTCGAGCAGCCTTGGGACAACGATCATGTCTGACTGCGATTACTATCGCGACCACTTTTCATACTTCAATGTCGATGGCTGGTATTCGAAGTATAATCTGTCCTTTGTCTTGTTTTGAGTGATGCCAAAGGCTTTCTACAGGCAAGTAAGGGACTGAATAGAAAAGAACAGCACTTAAGTCCCGGCTTAATACATGATTTAAACGGGCGACTTCTAATCTCTTCTCTAACAAAATGTCCACGGACATATCCTATCAGTCCGCGTTCCTTAGAGAAAACAAGAGCAGTGTATTAAGGGGAATTTTTGAACTACCTGAGTGGGATATTTTCACATTCTCAAAAAACTACCAACAAAGGGGTTTTATGACCATTAGTAGTCAGTCTGAGTATGTCCATCACCCACGTTCAACATCGAACGTTTAGGCCGAAAAAGATAAGAACGGCATGTGCTGCACTACTGGGGCGAATGGTTCCATATCGTTTTACGTGCCGGAAGATCACTCCCCGTTCTATACCCAGTAACGATGAGCAGGTTTGAAGCAATCAGTGCGTCTCTAAAACATGACACTCTGTAACAAGTCAGACAGTGTTGATTAAAAGACAGGACAAAAGGGATGGGGTACGCAGTTTGCAATACCTCATTACACTTCTAAAAAAACGCCCTTGTCCCAAGGACCAAGTGGCCAATGCACTCCATCAACTTCTTGTCTTCGCCGGCCTCAGAAATGTTCTCCACCTTATTTCGCCTTCCCTTTGTGAGAACGCACAATCCTTGTAGCCGGTGCTGTTGACAGCCAGTACATATGGATGAAGAGATTAACTGTTGACCGCTCTCGCTCCCACTTTGGAATAGAGTCAGGCATGCACAAAAGGTATGCAGACATTTTCCCCGTTTTTACGCTTTTTCATTCGGAAGCAATTTAAGAAGCTTCTTCTCGCCACTTTGTTACGAGGCAAGTGTTATCCAAAAGGGTTAGATGGCACATGGGCAACGGCACATATGGCTTTTGATACCGTCACATCCATACAAACTTTTGTACTTTCTTCACAAAACTACTATATTTATGGGAAAGCAATTGTCTACCGTAAAATGACTGACTGAGGGAACTAGTTTCATCAGAACTTATATGGTATAGCAGCTTGAGGTGGACTGTATGATTTTCGAAGCCCCTTATGTTTACATATATCTTCCAGAAAATAAAGTAAAAGACTTCGGTAACCACGTTACTTCGAGCGTCCATTTTGGGGGAAGAAAATAAAGAAATTCCATGGATTTAACAATATTATAAACCACTTATGTGACTATTCACGTCTCATCTCTCCCTTTTGGATACCACTAATCTCGCCGTAGAGTGAGGGAAAGAATCTCCATGAGTCACTTCCCACCGTAAGTTATATAATAAGGAAAAATACCTGCTCATGCCTAAATCTATCACAGATCGGAAGCGATAACGGTTAACTATTAATCTCATCATACATGTGTACTGCCTGTTGACAACACCGCCAACAAGGGTGGTGCGTTCTCAAAAAATGGGCAAAATAAAGAGAAGAACCTTTCCGAGAACGGTAAAGACAAGGAGTTTGTGGAGTTTATTGGTGAAATTGGTGGTTAAATCTAACCGGAGACGCGCCGAGACCCTGGTGCTGATCGGCTAATCCAAACAATCTGCTCATGTTTAACTGGCGCCAGCCGTTTCTGTTTCATCTTACCAGAGACATTACCAAATCCCTGTATGTTTCATGACAGCTTGGCCGTCGACTTCGACGATTTTCACTGTGTGCTCTACAGGCGGGTGTCAGCACTCAAACACTCAGCCACAAATTAGGCAAGTCAAAATAAAGCCTCCCACCTCTCTGGAGTGGCGCATGACAAATTGTATATAGCCTGAAACGCCCACGAAGGTGAACACCCGAATAGTTTGAAGCGTCAATTCTACATAAATATAGCCAGGATTTCGTTCACTTCATTGGTTCTGCAGTGCCGCGACCTTTGTTCTTAGTGCAGTGGGCACGGTTGCACTAAACGCCGATCGGAGTCAATTGATGCAATTAAAATAAACGAAATATGTCTACTGTAGTTATTTAAGTAGCACGTTATTTGCGAATTTATTTCATACTCGGGTATGTAATTTACCCCAGAGCTGAATGGGCGCGACATCAGGATGGCCCCTCAAAATGGTTATTTGGTACTGGGACCTTATTTCGCCCTTTCAAATTGACGGCATATGGTATTGAGCGTCCTAAGTCAGTATGCTCATCCCAACACTAAGTAAGATGGGCTCTTTACTGAGCATTACAAGTCAAGTACTAACATAATGACACCGCTAAATCATCCATGGACAGTACAAGTAAAGGCCCTCAGACGTCTTAGTTGAAGTGGTTGAAGAGCTGCACATTTGTAACGACAGTTAGCACAGCATAAAGAAGTGTTTTAACTTCACTTCGCTGGGATATCGAACCGTGACCTGATATTGTGTTTTTCAGTGGACAAAAGGTCTCATACCCTTTCAGAACAGAGCCAAAACGCTTGTCTTTACACGCTTCTAGCGAGACCTACCTGAACAACCAAAGTTGTAAGTTAGAGCGCTCTTTCACCACGTACTGCGTTTTCATTCATAGCAAAATGTGCATTAAATGCAGACAGTTGTTTCACGATGTTTACCAATAATTAATGCGAGTCTGGATCGCTCTCGGAACGTGGGTTTTATCTACTCTATTTGGTATTCAAGCCTAAAATTCAGAATTCTCAGATCAGCATCCTAGGCTGCCTGAACACTGGGGTAGTGCCTTGCATTCATTGAATTGCGACTATGTTCCACACAGGGACCTGTTTTCGAAAGTGCGCTCAATTCCTCTTTTCCTCTAGCTGGCCACTCCGAATCCGGTAGAAATAACGTCGAGCGACACAAGGCAGGCAGAAGCGGGAAGACGTGGTTGCGAGTGCCCACAACGGTCTGAGTTGCTCGGCTGTACCACCATCATATCCCTGTGCACTGACTCCTGTCGATGTTTGCTTCCAACCACTTGCGCGGTCTCAGTCCGTAGAATACAGTGCGTGACCTATCTCATGAAATGTTGGCTGAAATTCTGAAATGCGTTTATGATTAGGAAGGATTACTTGGTCGCGGTTGTGATACTGATTATCTTAAGGCATACTCTTATAACATTTCCAACTCGGCAGGATGTCGCCTTTTTCAATGCACTTCTGTTCAATCTCCTGTAGAAAGCGTGCTCGGTAAAAATGGCTACTTAAGTAGCATGTATTTTTCCTATTGATTTTCGATGGTCTTGCAAATTCAAATATATTTTGTAGAAACCATAAACAAAAATTTGCTTTCTTTTATTCAATCAATAGAGAATCACGTCTTCATTATATTATTTACTTAAGAAAGGAGTATAATTAGGTTTTAAAAAAGTTTTCTATTTGCCGAAAAATTTGGAGCCTGATCATTCGTTGCATTAGCGCTTAGTGATTTCAGTCAACAAGGTGCATGCGTTCCGCGTAAAGAAAATCCCATATTTTTCTGTGTCATTAAAGAGATATCATACAGTGTCCATAAAAATTTGCAATGGATTCAGACCATGTTGTACATTTCATGAGGAGCAGTGGTAAGCGGCCAGGTACGATGCTATGTGAATGGACATATCGCGGTCTTAAAAAGTCTCATAATTGGAAACTTTTTTAAAACCTAATTATACTCCTTCCTTAAGTATAAATATAAGGAAGACGTGATTCTCTATTGATTGAATAAAAGAAAGCATATTTTTGTTTATGGTTTCTACAAAATATATTTGAATTTCCAAGACCATCGAAAACCAATGGGAAAAATGCATGCTACTTAAGTAGTCATATTTTACGGAGCACGATTTCTACAGGAGATTGAAAAGAGGTGCATTTAAAAGCCGACATCCTGCCAAGTCCAAAATGTTATAACAGTATGCCTTAGAATAATCAGTATCACAACCGCGACCAAGTAATCCTTCCTAATCATAAACGCATTTCAGAATTTCAGCCAACATTTCATGAGATAGGTCACGCACTGTATGTCACCTCAACCTGTCCCCTGATTTTTGACTTGGGGATGCGTTCTTGCATTGAATCAAACAATACTTCAAGGTCCTTACAGATAGCCAGTTTTTTCCTGTATTTATTTGTGAACTCGTTTTGCCGAAAATGCAGCTTTGAATCACTTCTGGGGCAGTAAAATGCGCATCTTATATCGGTTTCTAAGGTGGAACCGGATGCAAAAATTGGGACTCTAACGTAATGAAAATGGAATTGAATCTATGGAGTAAATTTTGAATTTCGATGACGCTGGGATATTCGGATATCAAAAATGGTGAAATCTCATGTTTTGCAGTAATAACCCCTTATAACTACTAACTTCTACTGACTCCTATTGGCGCTCCCAATTGTAAACTTCATTAAACGTTTGCTAAGGATCAAAATATGCTCTTTAGATGGAAAAGACCGACCTTTGACCAGCGGCCCCGCCAAATGACACATTTTCTGGGATGTATCCGCACGAGCTCACACCCAAATGGAGCCCTAAGAGCTTAGCAGGGAGCTATCGAGGGAGCGTGGATCTCGTTCATGGAGGAGCCCCCATGATGTGAACGATAGCCTACTGGACAAAATCATTATCAGGAGAATGAAAGAGTTTTGAATTCAAAGTGTCTTCATTTTGCAAAGCATCACTTCCTTAGCTGGTATTCCTCAGAGCACAAATGTTGACTTCCGTTCACCACTGTGGGGGCTGGAACGATGCGCCAACAGAGGGCTCATCCTTAGAGTTTTCACGTCGTATTCTTTCCTTTCTCCTGGTATTTTCTGAACCTCTTAGTAAGCAAGCTTCTTAGAAACCTACTGCAGACGTCTCTAACTCACCGTCTGCGAGTGTGTGTACACTCCTGAAAATGCACAGTTAGCACCTACAGTCCACTGCTTTTAAGGTCTAAAAGTCTTCCCACTTGTCCTTATATATATCGTTCTTTGCGTTGGTCTTCTTTTTGCCAGTTTTGGTTTTGTGCGATCTTTGTAGATTACCAGCATCCTGACTACTCCAGTTGGGAGCTCCAGTTACTTGCGGCAGTATGTCCCCTCCAGATTTGCACAGGATGGTAGTCGAAGTGCGATGATTGCAGGTGAGTTTGGGCAGAACCAGGGCACTTTCGAGTTTCGACTTCTCCCGAAACAGTGCTCGCCAGTGTTCCTGTTGGAAGTTTCGGTTCTTTGACTGCTTTGGAGGTTTTAAAGCAGGAAAGGATTCCGGTGGTTCTTGCAGTCTCTGACAAATTGGCTTTAGCATTTCTTTTCTCGGTGGGACACGCAGTTCTGGTAGCTTTCCACTGCGCACTAGGCGTCCTGAATCACCTCTGGGTGGGGGATAAATTGAGTCCTGGGAGCAGGAGCCCATGTTGCAGCGAGGTTCTGCAAGCTTTGCTGGTAGTTTTTGACTCCAGTGTCTAGACTGACGTCCAGGTGCCAAACACGTGCACCTTCCGACCGCGGTTAGTTCGAACCATAGACTTTATCGATTTTCCTGTGCCGAATCCTGACTTCTGTGCAACGAAGGTGGGATCACGACTGACTACACCAGTGAGGACGTAGTATACTTCCTACGATGTCGGCCTTTTGAGACCCGCCGGCCTCATCAGAGGATTTTACACGTCATGGGATTCTGCAAGTGCTCTAGTATGATAAGTGGATGCGCGGTAACACCTACTGCCACGGGCTCTACTAATATAGGTGTTCAACTGGTTGTGAATTACGTCACACAAGACGCATAATTCTGCATGTGACATTCATAGCATGGACTGGAAATGATGAACTAACCGAAACTGGTCCTGTGTACCTCACCAGATCGGCGGTTTACCTATGCAGCACAGTTCTTCACGGTCACATTGGACTTCGTGTAAGGGGCGTTGGCAGTAACACGACTCCTTTGTCGTCCACAACCTTTTCTTCTCCATATTTCACCGACAGTTCCTACTAGTTAATGCATAATTTGCAAAATCCGAACCCCACTGCAGTCCTCTCCACGTTTACTGCATATATTCGTCTACCAGTCAGCATCAGTAAGGGTTGAGATCGCAACCCCTTCACCTATAAACAACAGCATCATTGAGGACAGCGCTGCACCTTAACACACAGGGATTATGTAATGATTAATCGGATCGTCTGGAGATCATGCCTATTTCTTCTTTGTTTACACTGACTGTCATCGAACCGATGTTCCTTAATTATCGTGTTTGTTGTAGTGGCTTCCAGAACAACGTACGCAATTAGTCCACTGACTACAGTATATCGTGCCGACTTCCTGTGCAGCTGACCATCATCCAACCCAGCCATTCTGAAGGTCGAAGGCTGCCCGTTCTTTGTGATATCCCATAATGGTCTGTCCATCTAAAATCGCACCGTGGCAGGACACGGGTGGCCTTGCCCCAAATTCCAGGAGGGACAGGGGAGCATTATCGACAAGGACAAGGGAGACTGGAATGGCCAGTTCTGGCTTATTGGCCGTCGTCGGCCAGTCAAATCCAACCCCGATTTGTGGCGCACCTGCGGCTCGATTCCGCGACCTGTTGGTCAAATGTCCAACGCCCCTAACCAGTGAGCCAGGGGCTTGTCGCCCTGTCGACTGTGATCGGTTGGGTATGACTGGCTGACGACGGCTAATAGGTTAGAAATGGCCATTTCAGTTTCCCTTGTCCTTGTCGATAATGCTATTCTGCCTATATCACGCACCGCTGTGCGGCTGCTGACTGAGCTCAAGAGAGAACACAACGGAACACATACCATTCCAGGAAGGGTACCTATTCCCGTGTCCTAATTCTAACCATAATCTTTCCGGAATTCAGCGCAAGTCCATTCGTATCACGAACGAGAGTTCCTTCTCCTGTTCGTGATATGGTTATCTCCCCACCAAACTTTGAAATATTCGTGTTTTACTGAATTAGTGTATATGAATGGGATAAAGGTGATTTATTTAGAAGTTATCAGTAACAAAACTACGTTTACTTTAGGGTAAGGTGATACCATACTAACAGCACAGGTACTAGCCAAAAGCACAGACACGCCTGTTTCGCCGATGTTCTGCCGCTGCATGGTGCAGCTGCGAGAGGTCCTGTTCGTCAGTGGGTCTCCCAGCATTCCCCATGTGTTTTCTGGTAGATACTCCAATTTAGAAATTGTCGCTTTTTAATTTCCTCAGAAATTCTCTACAAAGTTGGAGTTGATCAGTTTATTCTACTACTAGCTGTCTGTCGGCAGTTAATGAATATTACGCGGTTACCCGCTGTGGCTGTTTGACTTTGGCCCAAATATTCATGTGTAAAATTCTCGGTTTGAGCCTATAGACCTTGAATAAACTAATCTACTCCAATTTCGTAGATAATTTCTGAGGAAATTAAAAAAAGCAAAGACCACGTGTTACCTAGGAAAAAATATCACCAGATATGTGGGGACTCAGTAGATTTGGAAATAAGAGGAAGACCACAGTAAAATTAGAAAGCTTTAACCTGACGGCCTTTCGATGTTGATAACTATTTCTTCAGGGTCAAGAACGCTTTAGGAAGCTGCAGTTTGCTGTTCAACGCTACGAGGACAGCCAAGCGGCCATTTCGGTTGGCAGTATTGGCAGTAGGCCATGCGGAGCCGGCGAAAGTGTCTTTTGTTCCGGTGCTGTCGGGGCTCATATGTGACCGTGAGCTTGCAACAACAGCGGCTGCATTTCTGACTATGCCGTCATTGCTCTAGAGACCTCCATTTGCCCTCCATCTACCCTGCCCTCAAAGTTCTGTGTGGGTGACGTACAACCGCGATCACTGATATGCGGGTGGGCGAGCCGTAGGATGGTCAACAAGCGTCGGACACGCCTGTCAGACGACGAATGTACGCGTGGGAGTGTCGTTTTTTTTGTTTGCCCGAAGGTTCTGAAGTGACGTAGTATGGCGTTAAAAATCCAGTATATTGTGTGAAGAACAGATCGTGTTTATCTGTTTATTTTCATCAGCCGCTGCGGCCGTGACCACCTCCGGTCTTCTTGGCATGGAAACTTGGTAGCTGAGGGAGGAGAGAGTGAGGCAGACGCTGTGCAAGTCTGCTTCACCACAAGCTGATTCACGTGCAAGTCACCGGTACTGCATCCGCTCCGTGGGTCACACTGTGGACGTCGTCCCTTGCGACGGACGAATTGTCAACAGGCCGCCCGTAACAGAGGTTAAATAGCTTTAAATGTAGTAACAGTACACGATAATGCATTTCGTATCCTTTAAGCATTCACAAATAGCTTCTCAGCCTCTATGTCGGGCACACTTTCGTCATCCTCCAGTCGGAACTGAGCTCCCGATCTAATGACTTCTCTGGCTCCTTCCTACTAAGCGCTAACGTCAGAGCTGCGAGAAAGGCTGGAGGAGAACGAGAGCAAGGAAGGCTGGATTCTGCCGACATAATAGTGGAACCGCAAACAGGGCAGAATACTTGAAAGTTAATAACACCCGCCAAATTCAAAATGACCAATCAGTTATGGGAGTTCCTAGTCATTAACTCGGATTGGGGCCCCCTAAAGGACAAAGTGAAGACGTGCTTCTGAGGGAGATATAATACAATTGCGGAAGTGCAGTAAATTTAGTGCTTGCATTCAGGAATCGCCTGCCCAAACGGCTTCATTGAGCAGAGCAGGTGGGCCGAAGGTATTAAAAGGTCAGCAAGCGATTGGAGAGCGCTAACCTATAAGCCTAAGCAGGTTCTAAAGATCTGTTGAAATCGGCATCGCCTATAAACTTGAGGCAGCGGTCCGACCTTGAGATCCGAGGATCCCCCAGACCGGAAGGCCAAAAGTTTCGTGTCGTCTGTCAGAACCTTCAGCTGCGCGAGGTATCTTCACCACAACCCAGTAGTCAGGACAACAGAACGGACAGGACACCCCCGTAGACTGAATACACAAGAGCGATGGCTGGAGTGCCATCGGTCGTGTGGTCCGCGTAGTTTAGGCGTTCCATCAAGGTCACCCTAGGCAGTGTGTCAGTTGGCGACCCCGACATATCTGGGGACACGAAGACGTTGTGGCCCTGCAGTGGCGGTGCGCCTGGAAATCTTGAAGTCCTATCGGGACACTTAATCAGGATTCTCGGGTTATTTACTGGATAGACTGTAATCGTGACTCATACTAACTGTGCTGGCAAAACCAGCAATCAAGTTCGCACGAGGTTGCGCTAGCACGAGTTGGCTGTGAGGCGGAAGGGCAAACTCTCCTTGGAAGTCGCTCACGCCTCCTCGCCAGGGCGCACTTCGAGTGATTGAGAATATTGGGCCAGTCGGACGACCGTGTTTCACACCTGTTTCAGGAAGCATGGCGCTCGAATGAGGACGCGATTGATCGACATATCGATCCACCCCAGGTGCGTATTAAGCACTTCGTGAATATATCAATAGCGCAGCTGAAGATCATTCTTGGCAGAAGTGAGCTAAATAGGAGATAAGTTGTACAGCCTTCCAAATCTGAGCTATGGGCCCGCCTGAGAGTTCGAAGCGTCGGATAAATAAGCAAATGGCCCTATCGATCGCCTTCCTGTCTTCTTCTATTCACTAGCCTGGGTCGCGCGTATTTTTTTACCATTCGAAATATCTGTATGTGTGGGCTGAAATGGCGAATTCTGGCTCGTAAGCCGTCACCAGCCAGCCATACAGAGGTATGCAACCCCGAAACTTGAACTCGCGACCTGTTGGTTGGAAGTTCAACGCCCTAACCTTTGGGCCACGGGCCTGCTGTCCTGTTGGTTGCGATAGAGTTGCGTATGGCTGCCTTATGATGGCATGCAAACCAGAAATGGCTATTCCAGCCGGTAATACTATTCTGCCTATACTACGTGCAGATGTCCGACTGCTGGCGGGACTGGAGAGCCCCAAGGCACAACGGGACGAGTGAGTTCAATAACACGATCGCTGCACGCCCGTCCACCATTTGCATATTCCCTATCCGCCTACATGCTCCATACTGTATTCAGGCCAGCGAACGTCCGGTGATGATGCAGAAAGGATTGTCGAAGAAGATATTTGAGACTGGGACGGCCATTTCTTCCTTATTAGCCATCCTCAGCCAGTCCTACCACTTTCCTATTAAAAGAAGAGGAGGCGTCCAGTAGGAGGGGTTTATTAACGTTCTGACGTTTTAAGTAGTTGCTTCGGCTACCCCATCTTCGGAGACTGGGGAGTCATGAGCACAGCCCTCCTCATATAGCGCACTTTGTTTGATGCGTGGCCCGCCAATGGCGTCTGTGTGGCTGCATCCGACCCGCATGTCACCGTGACCTGAATCGCCCCCGCCCTCGTCGACCGCGCCGATAGTTGACGGCTCGATCGTCCCTCGTCGTGACTGTCCTCCTTAAAGGAGGTTCATAAATTCAAATAGGGAGGAGGCAAATTGATGTTGCGGCTGACAGACCAGTAGGTGGACATCCAGGTTTCTTTCACCTGCTTTGTTGTATGGTCATCGCCCCGGCCCACAGTCTCAAGGACGTTAAAGTTGAAGATTTGTCCCAATATGCGCGGCATGGGTTGCTACCTCCGACTTTGGGTTCAACATTCGCACGGCCAACTTATGCTCGTGCATTCGCGTTTGCAGTCGTCGGCCGGTTTCCCAACGTAGTTGCACTTTCCGCAGCTGCATTGAAGTCGGTGGACAACAGCCGACATCTCCTGCTTAGGGATCGGGTCTTTTGGCCGCATCAATCGCCAGCAGATTGTTGAGTCGGGCCTGTGGGTAACGTCTATTCCGAGTGGCCCGAGGGATCTAGCCACGGGTTTGGAGATCCCTTTCATGTACGGAATGCTCCGCCACGATTTTGACTAACTATGTTCTTCATTCCGCTTCCTTGGTTGCCTTCGGCTCTGTTCAATAAATGCTTGCAGATACCCGTTTGCTCCGAAGAGTTCCTGGAGGAGCTTCATCTCATCCAGTTTGGCGGCCATCGTGCTGTAATGAGTTTCCATCCGTCGGTATAGCGTGCGTACACAGCTTCGTTTGTGTTGCAGTGGTTGCTGTTGTAACTGAGCATTTGCAGCGTGTTCATCTGTTTTCTGTAGACTGACGTCGCCAGTTTTCCGTCTGGTTGGTGGCAGACGAGGACCTCTAAGAACGGAAGTTTGTCCTTCACGTCCTCTTCCATCGTGAACTGTAGGTCAGAAATTACTGAGTTAAGTTGCTCCCCATAGTAGTTACTTTTATCCTGATCGATGATTACAAAAGTGTCATCAACGTAGCGTGCCCAAACTTGGGTTTGTACTCCTCGAACAGTCGCCTCTGGAGTTTTTGCAGAACCGCCTCGGCAATGAACCCGGAGATTGGCGAACCCATCGGAGTGCCCTTGATTTGCTCATACGTGATCCTTTCGAAGGTAAAGAATGTCTCGAGGCAGTGCTCCATTAGCTCTGTGTGATCCTGGATTGTGGGATGGCCATCACCCTCACCATTATTTTGAAGTAACAGGTCACTGAGCGTTTCAACCGCAAGGACCTGCGGTATGAACGTGAAGAGTGAGACGACACCAGATGACATCATCCGCATCTGCTGAAAGTTATGGTTTTGTAGAGCTGAAATTGCCCTTTTTGTGTGGCTTCCATGGCAGTTTCACGTACGTGAGATCCAGGAGCACATAAATAAAGCTTTGAACATGTGGACATATAAATCAGGTCGGGCTGTTTGGAATTGTCGTCAAATTCAGCCATATTGTCTTGGCTCTATATTCTTATCGAAGGATGGTTGGTATCAGGAAAAACTGTGAGGTCGATATGTTTTGCACGGGACTATTGACTCCCCTATTAGTGGTGGCCTTGTCCTAAATTTCAGTGAGCGGCAATTCGGGTTAGTCTCATATTACGGATGGATCGACGAGTTGACATCATCTTGTCCTCAGATCAGCGATGGTTCTGATCCTTTGTGACCAATAAACTTCCAGATACGATGGAGTCTATCCTATCATCCTGAGACTAGAGCTGAGGTCACCTTTCTAACCAGCGTGGATGCGTCTTTCGTCCGGTCGTTTATCGTTTACGATTTGGGGATCAGACGATTAATCTCTACGTTTATCTTCCCCTCTTTTGACGTTTTTCCACATTCTACATGTCCGACTTTAATTCAAGTGAGAAGTTCTTGCAAAGCAGTGACTGCCATGGCCCATTCCCAGCGCAACCTTGGCCCACAAATGCAGGATTTAATTTAGTGCAGACCACTTGAGCTGGTACGCACACCCTGAAAAGGTAATGACATTTTTTACGTTTTTTAGCGGAATTCAAGGGGGCATCTAGCTGATATGAATCTTTACCAGGAGGCCTCTCACGTAACTCAGACATACAGCAGGTTGGCTAAACCATGAAATGTCAGCCGAAATGACTAACTGCGTCTTCGTTTCGCAAAGACTAAGTAGTGTTGTAAAACTAGTCAGCCTGCAAAATAACTCTATAATACTTCAGTTACCTCAGAATGCCGGCTTTTGAATGAACTTCCCTCCGACTGCATGCAACTCTACACCCTGTAAAAAGACGACTACTTAAGTAGCATGCATTTTTCTCATTGATTTTCGATGCCCCTAAATTCCAATTACATTTCATGGAAAACATGCATAAAAATATTCATTTTTTGCTCATTTGGTAGAAAATTACGTCTGCTTTCAATTTTATACTCGAAGGAAGGGTATAGTCCGGTTTTCAAAAACTTTTCCAACTCCCGAATAATTTTGAACCCGCTCTACCGTTACACTTGGATTCAGGGTTCCCAAACTACAAGCCGTATATTTTCCGCGTACGGAAACCAGCACATTTCCCTGCTGTAATAAAGGGGGATTTCGTGGGCTTCGTAAAATTTAACCGTGGATTTGATCCATATTGTTAACTTTACAAGCTACATTGGTAAATGCAGAGACATGACGATTTGTGAACGACCATTTCACGGTATTTAAAAGTTCCACAAGTAAAATTTTTTTGAAGCATTTTTCCCGGGCATGAATTGAAAACAAACATGTACAGCAGAATTTATTGGGGCCAATAAATTTCGTGATGGCTTTTCAACTGCAGCCCGTCTCTGCATAACATAAGTAACGAATGAAAGCGCACAGCAGTATGAATTTGTAAATAAGATCAAGGTCAAAATTTTTTGAAAACCGAATTATACCCTTCTTTCGAGTATGAATTTGAAAGCAGGCGTAATTTTCTACCGAACGCGCAAGAGAATGAATAGTTTTATGCTTTTTTTCCATGAAATATAATTGGAATTTAGGGGCATCGAAAATCAATGAGAACAATTCATGCTACTTAAGTAGTTATTTTTTGCAGAGTGTCGTTTTTGCATGCAGCCGGAAGGAAATTCTTTCGAAAGCCGGCATCCTGAGGTAACTGAAATATTATAGAATTATGTTGCAGGCGGACTAGTTTTACAACCCTACTTAATTAATCTTTTCGAAACGAAAATGCATTTCGTAATTTCGGTTGACATTTCATGAGTTAGCCCACCTACTGCAAGAGTTGGACATGATGGTTGCATGAGAATGTTCGCACTAAGGCGGCTTTTAATAAAATTTCGTATGCATATATATATATATATACCTGGAACTGGCTCCCAGAACAGAACTGTGCTGATTTGCTATTGCTGCCGCTGCATTTCGAGACGCCCGTATACTGCGAGCCATGGTATTGTCCTACTCATTCTACCTCTTTGACTTTTGTTTTGGGAAACTTGCCATGGTCACCTATCGCACTTCCGCAACAAATGACTGGGAATTTATATGGAAACTTAACTTTGTTTTGTTTAATTTCCGAGGAAATAATGCGCCAACTTAAAGTAAATTCTTTGGAACAGACCATTTTAGGCGCGGTCCGAAAGTTGGTATGAATGTTTGTGCTGAAATCCATCAGCTACTGCGGAATAACTGTGTAATATTTACAAACCGCCAACAGGTAGCCAGTGGTATACAATTGTGCAATCACTTACCTCGGAAATTAAACAAGGTAAGGTGAAACTGGAGTTCATATACCAGAAAACACACACGGGAAAGGCTAGGGGACCCACTGATGAGCCGAACTCCTCGCAGCTGCGTTAGGCAGCGGCACAAGATCAGCGAAACAGGCGTGTCTGGGCTTCTAACTATTACCTGTGTTGTCCGTATGGTAAATAACTATACAAACGCAACTTTTCAAACATGCTCGTTCCGAATTTCTATAGAGCCCTGTCAATGATCCTCGCTGGCAGTCTCACAGAAACTATCAATGTGAGTTACAGGGATGCGGAAAACGACGAAGGAGGTTCTAATGGCAACTTTTGGCTTATCGGGAGTTGTCGTCTGTCCGAACCTCAGCCCCAGGATTAGGTGAACAGGACTTTAAGTCCATTTCCACATTAATTAATATTCCCAAGTACAATTGACAGGGCGACTAGCCAATAACATCATCATATGTCCAGTCTTCAGTCAAGGTGGTTGATACGTCAGGAAGGGCTATTTTTGTCTCCCTCGCCTCTGTTGCATATTCACACTCTTTAGCGTTGATAACAGTTAACGTTGAATGATTTAGTCTTGGCGGCAATGAGCATATCCTTTATGCCACTTTGGAGCCGGACGGAAGAGTTCGAAATTACGCATAGCTGATTCGTCTGTCACAGATGTGCACTTGCTTTTCTTCCATTTCAATCCGCACTGACGTGTCCAAACTCTCCTCTTGAGCAAAGGCGACATGTGCAAGCACGGATTTAAAACGCTGAAGAACAAATTGTCTAGAAATGCAAACGGTTAAAAAGCATGACTGACAACTGACTGCAGCGCGTGAGTCATCAAGAACCTGCATCTTCTTTCTGACTGCTTTGTGGTAAATTCATCCTCTGTCCCTGCAAACAGTATCTCTTCGAATTTGCCTACTACTGCAAAAAACAAACATTGCTTTGTTCCTGAAAATGCATTTATTACTGTTAATAGACAGAAAACGTTCGAGACTATCATCACATGAGTGCATCGAGATATGAAATTTGCACAATTACGGGCGGAACGATCGGGGTCGCCAATCATCACTGCGGTTGATGAGGGCAGGAGTGGCGGAGTTCTCAGTGAAATAAGGGCCAGAGGCAGCTAAACAGGCGGTACTGGCGTCATATAATGAGAGCTGTGCGCATGGATTTTCAGTCTTTGAAGATGAATGGGCTAAATAACTACTCGAAACCTCTCCCGGTGAACGCCTCTTCTTTTGATATGCCACCTGGAAATCCCATTTTCATTACTACTGACTACTACTGCGTTGTCTTAGTAACATAACTTCAGGTGGGGCTCGGAAACGCTATCCTGTTCGGTCAACAAATTGTCACTTCCGTGTTATTATCGATTTCAGAAGGCGTAGTATCACTTGTGGATATTCTCAATTACGCTAGAGTTCGGGTTTTGTGGTTAGGATTTAAGGCGTAGAGTCAGGGCTTAGAGTTTAGTGTTAGTTTTTTTGCTTAAGGAGTTATTTGGCACCCACTTCCTACAGTTTCCACCTACGGCTTACGTCTGATTAGCCGCATTCTTGGGCGGTTCTGTTTCAATGAGCTTGACGTTCCAATCACCCTTGTTCTTCTTAGAATGGGGTTCACTGGTTATCTGCGGTGAATTTTTGTACTGCGCAGTGCTCACGTCGAGATCTAATACCCACTAAAACAAACCAGCATTTTTTTCTTTCGTTTTCGCACATTCTTCACTGTTTTCCCGCAGCCCCACCCGTGAAGCCCCTTTTACTTCGGTTTTCATAGTGGACGCGCCTAGGTTTCCCCATTTCCCAGAAGGACCGTGTTTCCAGGCCTTTCCAAGCTTCATACTGTGAACTGTTTTGAGTGTTTACTTCGTCCCACGTACAGAACCTGCGGCGCAATTTGGCGTAAAGGACTTAGAAGATACCGTCAGGCTTCGCACTCGGCTACGTTCCCTAAGCTTTCTCATTGGGTAACGCTGGCAGCCTCTGAATGACCTAGAACCACGCGGAAAAATCGATAATTGCTGCCATCATTCAAAGACTACCTGTCGAGCTCCCAGTGGTTGACACGCCTTAAGCGTCATGTCTGAGGTAGGGAAAGAGCCCAAACCCGCCCCTGTGGGCACATGTTGTGCCAAACTGTTGCCAGGTGAGGTGCCTTACGGCCCGAGGGAATATATCTACAACCTCCTGCCCCAACCACCCTGCCAACTGAACCCACAGAAGAAACTGCCTCGAATTCGACGCAAACCGCCGCCCCTGGCGGATGCCGTGCCTAAAGAACCCATGAAGACGATGGGCCCGCCCACGCATCCCCATCTGAAGTTCCCCACGCCGCCGAATAAGTTTCCCTTTCAGAATAAACACTGGCGAACTCCATTCATTGAAAAGAACTGCATGCAGGAAAAAGTCGCTCTCGCCACTCGGGCCTTCGAGAAACTGAAGGCAGAGCATCCCACAGGTCGCATAAAAGACGCCTGCTGCGCGGGTACAAAGCCACCCGTTCCCACAACTCAAGGTCTGGGTGACGAGTACGACGCCAATGGCATCCCTGCACGGTGTCTCAAGACCAAACAAGACATTAATCGGACGAATTGGATCGAACGAAATGCCATTCGTGCAATCACAAGCAAACCGGGATATCGCGCGGAACATCCGGAGCACCGGGTCCAGGTCTACACACGACACGGGGATAAAATGTATCTAGACAGCAATAAGACCCACTCGGGCCTGGAAAAGCGCTATGTTTACAAGCCAGCCTATGGGAAGGTTCCCAAGTATATTAAAATCCGTGCGAAGGCAATAAAGGAGACAAGAGAACTCTACTCACACTACTTGAACGAGAAGTCACTCCAGGGGACGGATTATCTGTTAACGGAGGAGGAACGTAAGGATCTGCTCTTTGGTCTGAAAGCCGCTTGGGATCGATACAACGCCTCCTACCTTCGCCTCTCCTCCAGTAGTACAACTTTAAAAAGCAAAGCCTACAAAGTGTATCTGGAACAACAACTGGATAGTCTGGAGAAGGATATTCAACTGGTACAGTCACATCCATACATTTTCGTCGAAGCCGACAAGGAGCCGGGTGTTGGAAATAGGACAACCAGAGAACTGCACGCCTAGACTGAGCGTCACAACTCAGAGTCATTTATATTGCCCATTAACAGACTACCGCTCCTGGCTCGAGTGCATGTCACTCACGTTTCTCCAATATTCGCTAGACTACTGGGCCATAAATCAAGTAGTACGTGTTAGGACCTAGTGCAAACTGAGGAGAATAACGGTAAATTTGGCTTTCTTACGATAAGAACATTTGTAAATAAATATTCCATTACTCTACCAAGCGGGCATTTGAAGTGATAAAATACTTGGTCCTGGGACAGAAGCTTTGACGAGAGATGAGAGAGAGAGAGAGAGGCAGACAGACAGACAGACAGACAGGGAGAGGGAGAGAGACATGAAAGGATGATCGACGACTTAGTTGGGTTTCCCTCCGTCTTAGTTCACAGCTGTTGATGCGGTCTTAATGGCGATATTAGTATTAATAGTAGTAGTAGTAGTAGTAGTAGTAGTAGTAGTAGTAGTAGCAGTAGTAGTAGTAGTAGTAGTAGTAGTAGTAGTAGTAGTAGTAGTAGTAGTAGTTACGCACTGCAGACTGGTTAATGGCCCATGCAATCTGGATTGGCTCTTGCATATCGTCAGAACTTCTACCGACCTTCGAGAACCCAGGCTATAACTCTTCGTTACAATGGGTTGCGCTACAAAGTCTGAATATTTGAATTTTCTGGGTTGGTAAGGAATACAAACTGGCCGCATACGTTTGTTGATTCCCCAAACCACAGTGAAGGGCACAGTTGCGTCGGGTCTAAATACGATCCAATCACTTATTAAGCACGTGCGATTACGACGAAATCCTAGGTCGGTCGCGCGCCCCATTCGCTTTTACATCTAAGAGAACCTACAGGAGGGAGAGAAGTCACTCACACATTGTAATGAATCTACAGTTTTTTGCACTATCATGATGCTATAAAACCGTGGTTAGGAAGACTGTGATTGTCGGGGAAACTCGTTCTCCTAGATTCAAAACTAGGTTGCCATGGCACCACCTTAAACCTATCCGATATAACAACTTTCCCAATATGGTACACGAGCGAACAAAGTCTGATTTGTACAAAGTCAGGAACCGCCCGTGCTCAGCGCGCGTAGACGGGCACATTCTCGCTAGCAGTCTTCGGTCATCCCCATCTTGTCATACCATACCCGATCTTGTCATTTTGTCCTGATACATGGTCCTCGTCCAATCTAATGGCCGAAAAGAACCGGACTGTGTCCCGTCCTCTGCCTGCGAAGCCAGATCAATTACCCTGAGCCCGAGCAGCAGTAAAGACCAGTAAAGGAGAACCACCCAGTTCAACCAACAGGTGATACTGTTGGATAATTTTGCCTGATATTGGACCTCTGAATGATCGTGACACTCCTAGTTTATCCAGCAAAACCTAGACAATGCCCAACCACTTCCATTTTGTAAAAAAGTAGACAGAAGACGGAACTTTGTGGAGCAAAAACCTTATTAGATGCGTAGAGGACGACAATCAAGGCACTTTAGTTACGGCGGAGGTTGTATTGGTTGAGTGTTTATCCTTAAAAAAATTTAAGGACAGTATACTTGCTTTCTACATCATCAAATCGAATGTTTATTACTCCAGGACATTCTGGGTAATAGACGGAGGTGTTCCTTGGAATTCCACGTAAATTTAGGACTTGTCCTGAAACGCACGAAACTTATCAAGACGTGGTGGCTGCCCACACCAACCAAAGTCCAAATGCAAACTGAGGGGAGTGACTGGGCCGTTGTCATCATAGGCGGCCCTGAGGTTGTGTCCCATCATCATTCGGCAGGCTTTCTTTTGTTAGCAGTCAAATGGGGAGGCTAGAGCTTAGTTCTTTTGTTAGACGCAAACGCTGAAAGCGGAACTTGTGTGCTCGGAAACTCCTTTGTTAAAGTCCAACTCGCTTTTCTCTTCTTTCCGAAATTGGTCGTTGTCCATCGGTTTCGTCGGCATGAATTTCTTTTGTGGCCCCCTCAAATTTTTATTATTATAACTTGCCCACTTGTTTCATATAAGTAGGCGCATATGTTACTGTTAAGACCGAGATTATGGTTAGCGTTACAGTCAAGGTTACGATCAGGGTTTGGGCCTGGTCTAGGGCTAGGGTTACGAACAGATTTAAGTTAAAGGTAAAGTTTGGGTTAGGGTTATGGCCAGGGACACGGCCTGAAATTTAGCGCAGGGC